CAAAAATAGATGAGGGGGGATGGGGTGCATGCGTGGGGGCGGAGGAGCACAAAGTGGTCATGCATGCATTTGTGGTGGTGGGACACACACAGGGGGTTGTTCCTCTCTCTCAGATGGAAGAGATACACACAAATGTACGGATTACTATTTGTATTTGTGAGCCTATGGTAGTTAGAAATGTGTCGTTGTTAAATAGGATCACTCTAACCCTGTGATGGCGAACCTATGGCACGGGTCTTACAGGTGGCACACAGAGCCCTCTTTGCGGGCACACCAGCCATCGCCCCCTCCCAGCTCCAACACACATGCGCGCACACCTCCTGCTGGCCAGCTAGTCTTCGGGTCTCTGCCACGCAGGTTCAGGGGGCAGAGTCCATCTGGGGGATGCACATGCATGGAGGGAGCGCTCACATTGCATTTTTGGGCCTCACATAGCGCCCCTGTACCCCGTTTTGGCTTCCATAATTGGTTAAGGAGGTCTTCCAGGCCCAAAACACGGCACAGACATGGCACATGCGCCCCTCGCACCGCATTTTGGGCGTGGAAAGCCTCCTGCACCAACCTATAAGCCAAAAATGGGCAATGGGAGTGGGGCGTGTGTGTGGGGAGATGGGGCGCATGTGTGAGGGGGTGGGGAAACATGGGTTGCGCATTGCATTATGGGTGTTGATGTGCACTGTGACACTTGCACGCTTTTGGTACGCAGTGAAAAAAAGGTTAGCCATCTTTGATTCAATCAGCAACCTCAACCCAGCAGTTTGCTGATTACGGTTGCTGCAGTTAAGATTGGAAACGAAAATGGTAGCAAATAATCTGTTATTTTTCAAGACACACCTGAAAAAAAAAAAAAAGAACTCAGGAAGTGGCTTTGCAAATTTTCTAATTGACAGAGTGGAAATCTGCCCAAACCATGAAAACAAAATAGTGATTACCCTACTTTCCAGACGATGGAAAGAGACATCTTAGATATTTCATGTTGACGTTGCTGAGATAATTTTATATGTTTGGAAGGTCATAAAGGAAATAATTGCTATTAGGCTGCTGCAGCGTCTGGAAGTTAAAAGAAGTGTTTTTGGAGTATTAAAGGGACACGTTTGAAACCAGAAAGAGGTTTAAACGGAGAAATATTTAATTTTTTAGAAATGAATCTGCTTTAAAAGCAGTGACAGCTGAACCCTTTTTATATACTTTATATTATTAAATGCTTTGGTAGTATAATCCAAGCCAAATGGTTTGTGTGAAGGCCACACTCAGATTCCTATTCATTTGTTGAAAGCATTGCTATCCTTTTGCAGCTAATGAAAATAAAATATTCATTATATTCAAGGCTACCTAGGATTACCATTTTGACCGCTTATAC